GCCTGCTCAGACCTGCCATGGTGATGGTGCACTTGGATGCAACTGATTCCAGCAGTGTGAACAAAGTGGCTGCCTTGAACTTTTAACAGCTCACAGCTTTTGACAGCCCACAACTTTTGACAGCCCACAGCTTTTGACAGCCCACAGCTTTTGACAGCCCACAGCTTTTGACAGCCCACAGCTTTTGACAGCCCACAACTTTTAACAGCCCACAACTTTTGTCAGCCCGCTCTGGGCCTTGTTTGCACATCTCACAGACGTGCCAGATGAGCAGGGAAAGTGCTCTGGGCTTTTGTAATTGGCACTGGCACCCCTGTGAGCTGTTCCCTGCAGAAGAGAGTCTGTGGGGAATGGGACCAAGTGGGCAGAGTGGGAACACAGAAACTTCTCTCCAACCTCCTGCTTAAAGTGCACTAATTGGCCTCGGGGGCAGAGCTGGTGCTCACACCTGGATGAGGAGCCTTGGGACTGGCTCCAAGCTAGCCATGGAAAGATGGAGGAAGGGATGAGACCGGCAGAAGCTGCCCAGGAAGGACCATGAGCAACCATGAAGCAGAAGTGCTACTTGGTGGTGACAGGAGAGACTTTCCTTGCTGCTTTCTGAACACAAGTTGGCCAGGAAGAACCAGTGACCCAGGGCTGGTGCTGGGAGCCCACTTTCCATTTCCAGGCTTCTGTAGATGTTGAACCTGCCCCAAACTGTGCTCTGCAGGAGGAACAGCTTTGGGGACAACAAACAGATGCTTCTCTGCCAGTCCCTATGAGGAGGCTATCCTGAAACCAGTGCCAGGCTCATCACAGTGGGACATGGAGGAAGAGGCAGCAGGCAAAATTCAGACAAAATCCACCATTTTCCTTGTCCCTGTTCCCAGAGGAAGTCAAAAAGACTGGGGAAGTCACCTCACAGAAAAAATAAATAAAAAAAACTTCAGCCAAACAAAAAAGTCCAAAGCCAACCAACCAACCAAAAACCCAAATCAGAAACCTCCAGAAAACTTACATTAAAATTGACACTCTTTAATCTGAATCCCAATGAGCCTTTCCTATGATGGGCAGACACAACCTGTGGGTTTTCCCAGGATCAACACTGAACAGGAATGCTGCACTCCCACCCAGGTAGTACAGGCTTGGTCGACTGCTGGGTGGTCCAGAACCCATCTGTGAGCCACTGAACTCTAAAGCTTTAGTGTCACAGTGGGACCCACTGCTGGCAGGTGTGTTCCCACAGCCTCTCAGGTGTTCTCCCACAGCCCCCAGGTGCTGTCCTGCTCAGCTATCCCCAGTTTATTCCTGCTGTGATGGTACCTGCGTCCCCTAGAGGAACAATAGCAACTCCCACGGCTGAGCATCCACTTGGGATGTACAGGTTCAAGGGAGGGCTTTGCTTTGCATTCCTGAAAGCTGTCTTAAATGTTAAAAATGAGATGTTTCCTCCTGTTCTGCTTCCCACCTGCTCAGCCTTTTCCCCACACCTGTGATGAAGAGTCAGGGGGCCTTTTCAGGAGCCTCCAACAGGCACAGGGGACACGAGCCATCACAGAAACACCGGGATACAACTTGAGTCAGGCCAGAGCAGAAGCTGTTTATTGCTGCAGCTGTGAGGGAGGGCACAGCCCCCAGGGACAGACACACTGACACATCTGTGCCCAAAAGGGAGAGCACAGCCCTCAAGGACAGACACACCACTGCCCAAAAGGGGCACACAGACTAAGTTCACGTTTCTCTGCTCCATCCTGCAAATGTGGGTCATCCTGCAAATGGAAACCCTTTCTGGGAACAAAGGCAAATTTGGCTTTCCCAGTGCTCTTTTCCTTGAACCCTGGCTAGGATGAGATCCAGGGCTACAGCAACTGGAAAAGATCCTACAGCTCACGTCCCTTCTGCCTTGCTTGGACGAGAGTCGGTGTCTCTGCTTTGCAAATTGCCCCATTGGGAACAGGACACGCTCCTGCAGGTTTGCTAGCTGACAGGTGTGGCAGCCTGGGTAGAAGAGACACCTTACATCACACTCACACGCTCTTAAACCATCCCACCTTTCCCACCTGGAAGTGGACGGGAACCAAAATCCTCTCGGGCACAAGACAAAACATTCCCTCAGACACTGTCAGTTTGCTCCTTGATATTTCTCTGAATGTGGACACACCAAATGAGCTGAGCCAAATGAAGCTGATAACATGGAAGAGGCTGAAGCGGAGAGAGGCAGCAGTTTGGAAGGGAGCAGCTCGCACAATGCTTGTTTCACTGGAGAAGTTTCACGTAATTTGCTGGGAAGAGGCCGACCCTGCCGTGGCACTGCCCCCGCCACCAGCCCTCGTCCACCATCTCGATGTGTGTGATTGTGTCGTCCGGGTCAAAAGAAATCTCATCATCTCCCTCTGCAAAAATTGTCCAGAAAAGACAGACAGTCACAATGCAAAGAGAACCCCAGGCACAGCTGGTCACATCCCTCCTCCCACCTCCCCTGGGCAGCAGAAGATAGAAAAAGATAACCCCCAAGAGTTCAACCTCACCCAAACCCCATCAAACAGCACAGACAAGGCAGATGAGCAAGACCTTGCAGGTGACAGATGAAGTTTCTCTGTTCCTGTCCTGGTTCTGGCCAGGACAGGGTTAATTTTTTGCAGTAGCCTGGTGGGGGCATGGCCAGTACACTGAAGTTGTTCTGTACCACCTCACATCATTGCTGGGGTGGGATAAGGACTGTCTTCTGGGGAAGAGGGGGTTCCTTCCATTTGAGGAATGGTGGAGGGAGGCATCCAGTACTGTCTGTTAGTCCAGTGAGCGAATCATTTCTTTTCTTAAACCTTTAGTTACTAATATTGTTGCTGTTACTGTTTGTTTTCTTCTCTCATGGCTGTTTGAAGTAAATTGTTCTTATCTCAGTCCAAGATCTTTCCCCTATGGGCCTCCAGTTGGAGGGGGATGGTGTGTGGGTTTTTTAGTGGGACTACAAAATTGGACAATACCATTCCTAAACTACCACAGTTCCCAAATCAGGTCTCATTCTGCTTCCTATGAGGAAGAAATTTAAACCCCCAAGCCACGGTCTTTTCCCCACTGCTGAGGGTGTGAACCCCCAGATCCCCTGGCCCAGTGCCGTCCCCCCAGCCCTGGTGGCAGACCCACCTCCTTGGTAGTCGTAGAGAGCCACTGCGCAGGTCCCGGAGCCCTGCCCCTCACAGACACCCCCCGTGTTGGCTGCAGAACACAGG